AAGAGAACCAGGCACATCAAAAGACGCTTCAATTCCATCCGCGACCAAGTCAAGGAGGAAGACATAGAGATTTGCAAGATACATATGGATCTGAATGTTGCAGACCCGTTGACTAAGCCTCTCTCACGAGCAAAACATGATCAGCACTAGGACTCCATGGGTGTTAGAATCATTACTGTATAATCTAGATTATTGACTCTAGTGCAAGTGGGAGACTGAAGGAAATATGCCCTAGAGGCAATAATAAAGTTGTTATTTATATTTACTTATATCATTATAAATGTTTATTATTCATGCTAGAATTGTATTAACCGGAAACTTAGTACATGTGTGAATGCATAGACAAACAATGTGTCACTAGTATGCCTCTTCTTGACTAGCTCGTTGAATCAAAGATGGTTAAGTTTCCTAGCCATAGACATGAGTTGTCATTTGATTAACGGGACCACATCATTAGAGAATGATGTGATTGACTTGACCCATTCCATTAGCTTAGCATTTGATCGTTTAGTATATTGCTATTGCTTTCTTCATGACTTATACATGTTCCTATGACTATGAGATTATGCAACTCCCGAATACCGGAGGAACAATTTGTGTGCTACCAAACGTCACAACGTAACTGGGTGATTACAAAGGTGCTCTAGAGGTGTCTCCGATGGTACTTGTTGAGTTGGCATAGATCAAGATTAGGATTTGTCACTCTGATTGTCGGATAGGTATCTCTGGGCCCTCTCGGTAATGCACATCACTATAAGCCTTGCAAGCAATGTAACTAATGAGTTAGTTGCGGCATGATGCATTACAGAACGACTAAAGAGACTTGCCGGTAACGAGATTGAACTAGGTATTGAGATACCGACGATCGAATCTTGGGCAAGTAACATACCGATGACAAAGGGAACAACGTATGTTGTTATGCGGTTTGACCGATAAAGATCTTCGTAGAATATGTTGGAGCCAATATGAACATCCAGGTTCCGCTATTGGTTATTGACCGGAGATATGTCTCGGTCATGTCTACATAGTTCTCGAATCCGTAGGGTTCGCACGCTTAACGTTAGGTGACGATCGGTATTATGAGTTTATGTGTTTTGATGTATCGAAGGTAGTTCAGAGTCCCGGAAATGATCACGGACATGACGAGCAGTCTCGAAATGGTCGAGACATGAAGATTGATATATTGGATGACTATATTCGGACATCACAAGTGTTCCGGAGAAGTTTCAGATATAACCGGAGTACCAGGGGTTACCAAACCCCCTCCCCCCCGGGAAGCTACTGGGCCTCATGGGCCTTAGTGGAGAAGAGAGAGGGCAGCCAGGAGGTGGCACGTGGCCCCCCTTGCTCCAATCCGAATTGGACAAGGGGAAGGGGCGGCGACCCCCCCTCTCCTTCCTTCTCTCCACCTCCTCCTTCCCCTTCTCCTTCTTGGAATAGGAAAGGGGGGAACCTACTTGGAGTAGGATTGCCCGCCCTTGGGCGTGCCTCCTCCTTGGCCGGCCCTCTCCTCCTCCCCCCCTTTATATATGGGGGAGTGGGGCACCCCATGAGACACACAAGTTGATCATTGATCTTTTAGTCGTGTGCGGTGCCCCCCTCCACCATAATCCACCTTGATCATATCGTAGCGGTGCTTAGGTGAAGCCCTGCGTTGGTAGCTTCATCATCACCATCATCACGCTGTCGTGCTGACGAAACTCTCCCTCAACACTTTGCTGGATCGGAGTTCATGGGACGTCACCGAGCTGAATGTGTGTTGAACACGAAGGAGCCGTGTGTTCGGTACTTGGATCGGCCGGATCGTGAATATGCACGACTACATCAACCGCGTTGTCATAACGCTTCCGCTTATGGTCTACGAGGGTACGTGGACGACACTCTCCCCTCTCGTTGCTATGCATCACCATGATCTTGCGTGTGCGTAGGAAAATTTTGAAATTACTACGTTCCCCAACATGGATAACCCCTTCTCTGAAGCGGAGGTTTGGGTGGCAATTTGTGCGTTGCCGGCGGAGAGAGCGCCGGGCTCGGATGGGTTCAACGACACATTCTTCTGGGCTTGCTGGCAGACGATTAAGGACGAAAACATGGCGGTCCTTCATAGTTTTCACAACCTATCAAGGGGAGATTTCAAGTCCATCAACAAGTCCCATGCAAGTCATGTGGGTGATTTCTGACCAATTAGCCTCATTCACTATGTTGCAAAGTTGATCGCAAAAGTACTCTCCATCAGACTGGCAGCCGTCATTGATCAACTCATCTCACCGGCGCATAGCGCTTTTCAGAAGCGGAAAGGCATACACGACAGTTTTCTATACGTCCAGAACACTGCCAGACTGCTGCATAGGAAGAACAAGCTGGCCCTGCTCATGAAGCTCGACATCGCTCGTGCTTTCGATAGCGTGTCCTGGGAATACCTCATGGAGCTGATGCGCAGAGGATGGGATTTCCTACGAAGTGGAGGGATTGGATTGTGTTGCCTCGGCATCCTGAACATGTCTGCTAAATGGTGTGGAGGGAGCGCCAGTGCAGCACAAGAGGGGCTTATGCCAAGGCGATCCTCTATCTCCCCTCCTGTTCATCCTGGCGATCGACCCGCTGCACATGGTGATCAATGTGGCCACCCGCTCTGGGTCCCTGCGGCCCTTGCCAGTGGGCGCGACCCGGCTGTGGGTTAGCCTATATGTGGACGATGCGGTGGTTTTCATCAACCCCGATCGGCAAGCGGTAGAAGAGCTCTTGGAGATCCTGTGTGGCTTCGGGGAGGCCACGGGGCTGCAGCTCAACCGTGCCAAATCCTCGGTGGCACCAATTCGTTACTAGCAGATTAATTTAGACCACGTTATGCAGGGTTTCAGAGGCCGGGTCATCGGCTTCCTCGTCCGGTACCTAGGCATCCCGACAGTCTTAGGCTGGCTTAGGCTAGTTCACCTCCAGTACATCCTCGACAGAGTCCGTGCAAGGTTAGCAGGGTGGAAAGGGCGCCTCATGCCCCTGGCAGGCCGACGCGTGCTGGTCCGATGTGTGCTCTCGGCGCTCCCGGCGTTCACGCTCACCGTTCTGCGTGCACCGGCCAAGTTCAACAAAGACATTGACAAGGTCAGAAGAAAATTTCTCTGGGCGCATGCCGAATAGCTTACCGGCGGCAAGTGCAAGGTGAACTGGAGAGTGGTCACATCTCCGGTGGATCGGGCTGGTCTGGGCATCCCAGACTTGCCCCTGGTTCGCAAGAGCACCGAGGCTGCGCTGGCTCTGGCTCTCCTGGAAGCACCCAAACCGGCCATGGATGCAGTTGGGGACGCCGTGCGAAGACAAGGACCGCGACCTCTTCCACGCGGCAACGACGGTCACCATCGATAGCGGCGAGCAGATGCAATTCTAGAACTGTCGCTGGCTTGGCGAGAGCCCGCTCCGCAACGACTTCTCAAACCTCTTCGCGCACTCCACCGGGAAAAACAGAACGGTGGCGGCGGTGTTGCACCAAGACACGTGGATTCGTGAGCTCAGGCATGGGAATACCGGCACCATCATACCCAGTTTGTCTCCTTGTGGCGCAGGATTAGAGGAGCGGGAATAGGGCTACAGGCCGGTGTCGCTGACGACATTGCATGGACTACGAGGGAGGGCAGGAGTACTCGGTGCGGGCGGCCTATGACATGCAATTCGCGAACTAGCCAAGAACGGAGCTCAAGGCGCTAATTTGTAATACGTGGGCACCAGGATATGCCAAGATGTTTGGTTGGCTGCTGCACCACAATCGCGTGTGGTGCAACGACTGGCTGTAGCGTCGAGGATGGGAGAACGGCTACTTCTGTGCCCTCTGCAGAAGACGCCTGGAATCCTCTGTTCACCTCTTCCGGGAATGCCCGTTCGCCAGAGAGATCTGGTCTAGGGCAGCAACATGGACAGGCTGCAATGCTCTTACGCCGGATGCACTGATCGATAGGAGGACGATGACACAAATTGTGTCGGCAATGCTAACAAGGGCGGCGCCGGGAGCAAGAAAGGGGATACGATCGATGTTGCTCCTGATCTGCTAGAGAATATGGCTACACAGGAATGAATGCACGTTCAGAGGCAAGGGCGCAAATTCAAATGAGGTGATCAACGACATCAGAAGTGACATAGATCAATGGCGACTAGCCGGAGCAACATGCTTAGTGCCCCCTTTCGAGGATCAGACGTGAGAGATTCTCATGCCGGTCAACAGGGGGAGGGAGGGGAGTTAGCCTTTCCTCTCCCAAAATCTCTGCAACTTTCCAGCCACTTGGTCTGAGAGACTTTTTGTAATCCTCTTCTGCTAAATCAATTGAACACCAACAATGCAGGATCTTTCAAAAAAAAACTCGATCGACTCAAATTTAACCAAGTCTCAGTCGACCTTGCATCATTTTGTCCCATCGTTCGCAACATTTCTTCCTACCAGTTACATCATCCGTCTTGCTGATTGTAGATTGTCGTGTCCCACGACGATTGTAGCACGTCATCTCACCAGTTGCAATATTTCTCCGTTGAGGTTGTAGCATTTTAGTCAGGACGGTTGTAGTATATGTTGTCGTTTCTTGCAATACCGTCACAACATTTTTCGTCGTGTTTGCAGCATTCAGCCGTGCCGATCCTAGCACCACAACTAAACGTCACTCGATTGATACAGAAAAGCAAAGTCTTATCACTTAATTAATCTACTACCCCTATAAAAGGAAGAGAGGGCGGAGAACCAAATCATCATATCCATTCAAACCTGCAATCTGATGGTCTACATCGCTTCAAAACATCAAATATGTTTTATGCTTTAATTACCTACCATGCCATTGGGTTACAATCCTCATAAACACGTCCGGTCAAAAATAAAAGCGCCCTCCCGCGACCACACCCTCGGGCAGTTTGGCCCCTGCCCACCCTAAATAAACTGCCCACCCTAAATTATCGCTAACCTCCGGCCTAATCCTCTTCCCACATGCGCGGAACCTGCGCAGGAGCCGCCCCATACTTTTCCCATGTCCGTGGAGCGCCTCATCGCCCGTTCACTCCAACCCGCGCCGCCCACTCTGCCTCACCTCTCCAGCGGTCCGGCCGCAGATGTCTCCTCCCTGAGCACAAAGTGGACGCACGTGGGGCGGCCACTGGTGAAGGAGACCGCGCGCGAGCCCGCGGCGCCCTCACCTCCTCGCCTCTCCGGCCACACCGGTCTCATTCCTAAGCATGAATTGGGTGCAGGCAGGGCGGCCGCCGGCGTGCGAGTCCGCGGCGCGGTGGTGGAGCCCTCCGGCCCCTTCCGGTTCGAGGTCCGCAAAGGTCTCCTCCCTGGCGTTGTTGGCCTTATCTGAAGGTATTCTTCCTTGTTCTTATCTCAATCTATTCCGCCCCGCCCAACCCTCGAGGGATTGCTTTCCTGGACGCCACATCTCATTGCTCGCACGAGGCCACTGCCTGGACGCGGCAGCCGTCGGTCCACTGGTCCTCGCACAGGCGCTCACACCATAGACAGCCCCATCTGCCCACTTCTAGCGCGCGGACACAATGATCTGGATGAGCTGCCGCCTCAGCAACTCGAGGCCACGCACGTCGTTTAATTAGTTCAGCAAGGTAGGGTGCTAGATACTAATTGAAACAACATCAGTCGAAGGTTGACAAATATTCAAACGCATGATGTGATGTTCATTAATCTGTTTTTGCGAGTAAAGTGCGCTGGTTCTTCATAGTTGTAGATTTGCCGTGGATCAACAGGTTAGCACAAGCTAGCCCTGAATTCTTTTTTCTAAAACAAATTTGTTGGTTCCTGATTTTACAGGCATGTACTGGCACCTAATGATGTGTCCAGAATACACAGGGCACATTTTGACTTGGAATGCTGCTATTCAACGGTGTTCATCCGAGATGTCAATTTAGCATAAGCTAGCCTTGTCTTTTTTGTTTGAATCAAATTTCTGGTTATGATTTTTTCAGGCGTGTTTTGTACTATATTGATCTTGGTCTTGTTCTGTTCGCAGGGACACCTGACGATGAATCACAATTTGTACTGCAATCCATAGACAATATGGACCCTAGAGCTCCTGGCGGACTTGAAGGTATGTTAATTCCCATTGATCCCAGAAGGAGATGTGGTGCCAACAAACTCACTGAAAATGATTATTGTTCAGACTATTGCAGCACTGCAACCTGCTAGATTTAAGTATACAACTGTTTGCTTAGCGGTGAATTAGGCAATACATGAAAAAATAGCATCATTCTAGAAGGTATACATCTTTGTTCATTTTCAGGATTGCTACCTTTTTTTGTTATACCTCTCTTTGATGATTTGATGTTGGTTTCACTGGCATGGAACATAGAACGAACATATTGACCGCTTAATCTTTTATATATGTTGATCCCCATGCTTTTCTCAGGGAGAGTAAAAATATAATGGTTCGTTTGTGTAGAACCAATTGCATCTTGGAGTAGAGTATGCTCAAGGTGGTTCACTTTTGGTTTTTGCATTCCCATGTGAAATTGGGAGAGTGTCTGGAAAAATATGCAGTGTTGTGTATAAAAAAAATTAACACCGTGTATTTAGGTTGCCAATTTGTAAAAAATTTATAGCAGATCCAAATAGACATCTGATATTATACCTTCTATCTAATTGTTGGCACTTCCTTCAAATAAGAACATAAGCAGAACTTACAAACCGAAATATCTCATAAATGACTGTGTGTATTTGCTTTATGTAATTTTCTTATTAACTAATCCCATACAGTCCTGTTAGTGTATATATATCACGTGCTTCTCTGCTTCTACATAGTCATATCCATTTTTCACAAGCAGAAACTATGTTAGGTTTAATGGTTGCCCTGCGTCATCGATTCACCCATGTGTTCTGTTTTCTGCCTGCTTTTGTTCACAAGCTCAGTTATGCGGTGTCCTCTGTCTCAAACACCGATGATGACCGATACATGTGAATTGAAAACTTGGTATTTTGTCAAACTCTGGCATCATCCTCACTGCTTCAGCGGCACTGGCTGTCTCACCTGGTTCTTCACAGAAACCTCCCTGTACTATAGCATGTCGCCGAACCACTCGTTGTGGGATGCTTAACACCGTGTTTGGATGATGCCACACATGATTCAGGGAAGACCCTGCCGCATATATAAGCCCACTAAGCAGGCATTAATTTTCGTTTTGTTGAGATATCTGTTAGCTTCATGCCTTCACCTTAATGTAGCAGAATAGTTAATTACTGATTTTGTAGGGATCTTTTGTTGCGACTTTTTTCATCTGACGAAGGATTTATAGTGGATGCACATCACTTTGGGTGGAACTATCAGGCACACGACCAGTGAGCGGTGGCAGAAGCAACTTCTCCCTTGGACTGCATGACATGTAAGATTAAAACCTTGATCCTTGCACCCATGCCTATTTAGAAAAAATAAAATTGCATGGCCGACCATTATTTTTGATTGCTGTAAGTTGTGCTTAATAACATTTATACATATTTATTTGTATGAAAAACACCAGCCCTTTCTTAGCATTCAATTTTGTTTGTTCTCACCTGTTATCTTTGTATGATGACTTGACAAACGATGGTAGACAACTAAGATACATACTCCTGAGAATTTCTCTTGTAGAGCTGAAAAGAAGTCTCTGTGATATTGTTTTTCTTTTCATGTCTGTGAAGGGCCTTACCAGGAACCAAGATATTTTTGCAGTGAGAAACCATGTATTTTTCCTTTATCTTCTTGATGATTGTTTCTCATACATTTAACTTTAGAGGAAACATGGACATAAAGCTACATGGGAACACTTGGTCCTGAATAAAGTTTGTTTTAACGGAATGTATATGTACTCGAATGGAGGGAATGAAAATCTCAATGAGATGAAATCTGGAGATCAGAGATGTATCACCTCAATAGAATGACAAGATGTGGTCTCCACTCCGTGTGGTGAGAAGTAAGACTTTGTACCTTCTAGTTTAGAAAAGAGCTACTGGTCAATCCTTATTTACCGAACCTCGGTAGTTTCCACTTGCATTTGCTTTCATAGAGATATAAGTAGACAGGGCAATTGGTGATCACTTCTTTGTCGATTACTTTGTTAAGAACAATCCTCCATAATTATAAATTAATTTGATCTGGGAGGGAGCCAAAATATATAGCACTTGGTGACTATCAGTTCGATTTGAACAAGGATTATGCATCTTGACCACGGTTGTTTCTATTTTCGTTCTGAACTGAATTTTAACTCTATTTTCCCTTAGTGGTATTGGAAATGTATTGATGTTGAGATGAAAGTGTGGCGGTGATCCTGGGCAGTGACTTTTACACCATGTTCTTCACAAACACTTGAAAGTAGAACCCTTCATTCCCAGTTAATGATAATGCTTCATGTGCAGGCACGTTTTCCTGTTAGCCCTATGGCTTGACCGATGCTTCTATGTCTACCTGTACTCGATGTGTTGATGGCCTGATGGGCAAGGCGTACTAAGGATCTAGCGACATCTTCATGCATAATGCATAATGTTATTTTTTGTAATAGAGAATTACATGTACCACTTTTCATTATGATAGTATATATTTTACCTACTGGTGCAAGTTTATCCTGCCCTCACTTACTCAGGATGGTGTTGACAATTTACATTCACGTTAAATTATGTTGTCTTATACTCCCCCCGTTCCTAAATATAAGTCTTTCTAGAGATTTCAATATGGACTACATACGGATGTTATAGACATACTTTAGAGTATAGATTCACTAATTTTGCTCCGTACGTAGTCCATATTAAAATCTCTAAAAAGACTTAGATTTAGGAACGGAGGGAGTAGCATTTTTTTATTAACACGCATGCGGTTTTCACCAATACGGATATGAACCATTGTTGCCTTCATGGTTACAGGTGGGGTAGCTTGGGCTTCGAGCCTGGGATCAAGCAAGAGCTGCAACTGCATGTGCTTGTTTTCTTGTGCTTTCTTTTGCAAATAGCATAAGTAATTAACCACTCGCTACGACAGTATTCCTTCTTTCACTCCCTTTCCAAAACTTTGACATAATATATGCTTTATTTAAGTTTACACTAATACGTGCATTGCACACACATGATTACTAGTTATCACTAAAATATCTTACAGTAACTTGGAACACAGAGCAGCCCCGCATGACCGCCAGGCCATCCCCCGCCACTAAAATCCATGCCCTCCACCAGGCGCCAGCACCACCGGCCGTTATACTACAAACCAAGAAAACCATCATTGTTCGCACCAACCCACCCAAC